ATTTATGCATTTTAGCACCCCATTTTAATTCATTTTAGCAGCTAGTGTATCATGATTGTTCTCACGTGTTTTTTATTCTCTTTAATGCATAATTCGAATAGTATGTGATCGCTCTGCGGCGCAGCTCCCGAACCTCTTCGATACCCGACTCGATTCGACCCGTTATTGATTCGCTGACGACGATATGTATAATACATATTGAAAGCGCTCCGACCCATTCGATCTCCTTGTGGAGTAAGTCCTAGTATTTCATCAATTTAATTCCATCTCCACATCATGTCATTTGACAGGTAGATATTAGTTAAGTAACACGGTCACACACAAAAGGCGTGTAGGTCAACACCACGTCGAAAACTAATGTCTTAGTTTCATAACACGTTTTTTCTTAAAAGCGTGTTATATAAAACACGTTTGACCAGTAGATGCGTGTAAACTTTACACGCTTTAGGTTAGTGAGATTTGCCATGATAACACGGAAGTTAGTTAACATTTTTTACAGTGTTGGCCCGGGGACGTGCCGAGCCGAGCCGGGGCCCCTCGGAGACGCGGAAGCGGCTCGCTCTCGCTCGGCGGCCGCGGCGGCGCGTCCCCGGCCGCAGGGCGCCGCTCTGCACGGGCTGGATCCCGGCCGCCGAGCTGTCGGCAGGCCCTGTTTGCGCCATCGATACCAATCGTTGGTATGCAAATTGTGTGGTGTGACACGGCCCGGCACAGCGCGGTGACTACTGGACTCTGAGCGGCACCGCCGACCGCTGCACTGCTCCGCCGACCGGGCCCCGTTCCACCCCGCCCCGCCGTGTCACGGGTGCCGCGGCGGTCCGCCTGTCCCGCTCACTCATCACCCCGATACCGCCGATGCGACAGTGGGCTTCTCAGAAGTGTTCCGTTTACCGTGCCGAGCGAACGGAGCGCGCAGTCCGACGGTCTCCGGACCGAGTCGGCAGAGCGGACTGCGGGAGCGGCGACTCAGCTCATGGCGCGACCGTTTCCTCTTTGTTCGAAATGTTGGGTCCGGTACTACGTCGCTATGTGTGGCCAGGCGTGGTCAGGAACGGAGCCAGAGGAATGGGGCATGAGGTCATTTCCCTGTCAGCCTTCAGCAATCACAGATACACACGTGAGCTAGTTAAAATAGCTAATATTCTTATGATTTATCCCCTCAAAGTTTTTCATCACGTTTTTATCTTTGAATACGAAGCTTGATTTACCTTGTTTGAGTTCCTTCAGCGTTGCAATGCGTGCACACATGACGTCAGTAATTGCGAGGCACACAAAAGTTGCCAGCAAAAGACTGACGAATGTCAAAGCCGCGCAAGGACACAGTTGGCAAGCTTTGAATGCCGGCGGTCAGACAGTCCTCGCCGCACCGAGACGCTGCGACACTCGGGCTGCCCACGACTGCGCGGCGAATCGGCATGGAAATGCTCGCCAATCAACTCATTCTGTATTCCCGCTGCAGCCGTGGCACAGCCGCCCGCTCCATCTGGGTTTTCATCTCACATGACGTCTCACAGTGACCCGGCTGACCTCTGTATGGGGTCACCAGGTACTCCGTGCCTCCCGGCGCCCCTCCCCGCCGCCCCTCGCCCTCTGAGGGTGGCGATACAACCGTCACCTCACGGCCCACATTCATCGTGGGCTAGTGATGGTAGTTGCAGCCGCGGCGGCGGCGGCGGCGGTCACTTGACTGACCTGATCCCGCCGACCGGCGCCCCGCGAGTACGGCGGGGTCACACTGACCGCCGCGCCGCCCAGACAGGCAGACAGGAGCAATGACTCCTGTTGGCGCCAGTAGAAATGGAGTGCCGAGCGGGCTCAGTGCCTCTCTCACTCCCGCGCTGTCACTGGGTGCTGAGAGAGCGGATTGTGGCTGACCGGCCGGCTCGAACCGAGCGGGCCCGCCGACCTAGAGCGGCTTCTGACTCACCAGTGGTTTTGCTGGATGACGATAGCTCACCGCCGGCCTCGGCCGACAGTTTTTCGACGGCTACTTTCGGTCGACGCATTAAGGGCAGCCTAGTCGAGACATTGTCGCGCTCGAGCATGTGAGAAAAGTTTGTTTTAGAACCTTGACACACCGCTACTGGCGTCTGTGTAAATGAGGAGAGCGTGGGCGGCGGCGGCGAGCGGCGACCGTGGGCGGAGGGCGCCCGACAGCGACTCTGCGACCGATCCTATCTCCTCCCGGTGACCCGCCAGTTAGAGTCATGTCACGCGCGCTCGCCTGACTCCGACTCTGACTCGCGTATAAAACTCTGTCGACCCGGATCTCAGAGTCATATACAGTGGATGGTTTTGACTCGAGCATGAAATCATGACAGCTCGTCAATGACTCCGAAATGTCGGACTCCACGCAAACATTCTATTCTGGATCCGGTGACATTCAGACGAGACATGACCAGCAAAGCGAGTCAGCCAGCCGACTAGTTCGATTTAGTGACGTAATAAGCTCTCTAAAGATGGCTATTTAACCTTCCATTCGTGGAGAACAAGCCGTCTTCAAAACGATACGGACAACCATTTATGGACCTCGTTAGAAACTTTAGAGGAAAATGCTAGAAGGAAATCAGCCACGAGTTCAAATACCGTGATACCCTAGGAGGGGCTTAGTCCTTCACCCAAAGTCAGGGACGCCAATCAGCCAGTTCTTCTGGACCACATTATTGTGATTTTACCCCGTCCAATTCTTTGAAGAGAGGCGAATATATATGCTGATTTTTGCTCGGCCTCCGATGCTGAATTACACCCGGTGCACGGCTCCCCGGTTTGACCAGTCCTTTGTCACAATGGACGCGCTGTCCTCGAACCGACAGCTCACACACCCAGCGGACGACGCTCCGTGCAACAATGGTCTCTGATGCGCCACATTTGTCTGCGCGACACCGCTGGCCTGCCGCGCGGTCAGCGGTCAGCGGCGGCAGCCACGGTCACAGTGCAGCTTCACCAGCAGCCTTAGCGCAGCCGCTCATATCAATGAGAGAAAGTGGCGCTACCGAGCTTCTCCGGCCAGTGTGCAGCCGCCGACCGCCGAGCCGCCTCTCCGATCAGAGGGGTTGATAGTCGGGCAGTGGCGCGGCAGTGGCGCTCGCCAGCGCGCGAGAAACGACCGCGCTGGCAGCGAGCGAGTGCCGCCACCCACCCAGTCGCCCGAACGGGAAGGCCGGAGGGTGGAGGGCCCTTTAGTGCCGCGCAGATCGCCGACTGAGGATAGGCAGCAGCGGGCTGAACAGCGCTACACGGCCGATCGCAGACAGGAACATAAGTACGTTGGAGGGTGTTTAACCAGTTTGAGAAGACGAATTGACTACGCTTTGGGTAATGGGTTACACGCGACCTCACGGGTCACGGCACGAACCAGACGGGTTACAGACGAGTCCAGACGGATTACAGACGAGTCCAGACGGGTTACAGACGAGTCACAGATGGGTCACGACTCACGAAAGCAGACGGCCGGGCAGAGCCGGGCCATTGGCTGGTGGCGGTTAGCTCGTTAGTTGTGGCACAGGGTGCGCAGCGCTGTCCAGTCGCGAAGGCTTGAGTAAACAGGCTAACCGAAAACGACATCTGTATGCCCTGCACGGCACAGTGGGCGCTTTCACCCTCGGGGGAGCGGTCTTCATGTCGAAAGAACGAAGCGTCAAAGTTGTAAACATGAATAAGAGATTTTTACAAGATTTGGCATCTGTATCTAATCTATAAATAAAATCATGTGAGCATGAGTGCTGACATTTGCTCGGAAGCCCAGAGAAAGATGCCAACAAAGGCTGAGCACAGTTGACCGTCTGACAGCGACTGTGCATGGCGCGTGGGCAGTGTCGGCCCGGGCGGGGGCGGGGGCGGTCTCACTCAGCGCTGATCGTCTGCTGGCGATGAATGGTGTTTGGCTGCGGTCGAGACGGCCAGGGGCGGTCGGCGGGTCGGAATGTGCCCCCTGCCCCGTACCGAGCCCGTCCCAGCCCCTCTCCCCCCACTGATCCTCCAAGGTGGCGCTGCCTCTTCCTTGGCGGCTTCTCACAATGTGCATACGAGTAGGTAGATGAACGTCAAGGTCATGATTGTTTCCAGGGTAGAGGTAGTTAGTCGCAATCAGCTGCATCCTTTAGCAACGCTACCTATGTTGCGGCATGATACTCGAGCTGCAAGTGGTAACCGGGATCAGCATTGCGTAAGGACGATCTGTCTTGTACGATCATCCGGATCGGACTATATTTGCCATGCAAATCCATCATCGTAGAGATGAGGCGGCGATTAGCTGTAGTTTAAACCGAGTTAGTCGACGCGTACAACCAGGATGCTGGCCAGTTCACGCGGCGCCAACAACCGAGGCATGGTAAGCAGCCGCGAAATCGGCTTTTTCTGGGCTTATCAGAGATCATTGACTCCGGTCATGGGTCCGGCTGGCCTGTACTCGGTGGCAAATACGCAGTTATCTGGGGAAAATCGCGACACGTACTTACCAAATAAATTAGATCACAGCATTAGCCATACGACGGCACGGGTAAAACCGATGTTAATTCGTCAGCATGCATCATCGGCCACATTCCGGTTAGACGTAGTAACTGCGCGCGCATAACACATTCCAGGAGGAGCGATTGACATGCGCTATTGGCTAACGAGATATGCGCATGATAGACATCGGCAAACAACACGGCGCCGTCCGGGCATGGAGCGTCCCGGAGACATTTCCATCCGACCCGCCGCCGGCTCGTGTTAATGCTATGACTGCGGTCTGTATGCCGCCGCTGACGCTCCGACAGATAAAATGGAGATGGATGACTTCATAAAGGCGAAAACCTCGAGTCATGTCACCAAGAATGTCCAGGAATGCCGATGGACCAAATGAAATGCAAACAACAAAATTCTGTGCAAATTAATTTTTGTCCGGATCTAAAGGGCAACAAAGCAGATTAAAATTATATCGAAGACAGTGATGTGATTGTGAATAAATATTGGCTATATACGAATTGCGTTCTGGTCATACTAAGGTCGTTTCGACTTACCCTTTCCGTTAGGCTCGTCGTCTTCTTCCACCATGTCGATTCGTGATCGGGCCCTCGACGCGTCGTCTGCGGGCAGAGGTCACGGGTCAAAAACCGAGGTCACAGGTCATCGGTCGCGAACGTAGGTCACGGACTGGGGTCACTGATCGATCATCGAAGTCAGGGAGGAAAGAGGGGAGCCATTTGACAATATCAGAGCAATATATCGCAAAAGAAGGCAATCACAACGCGAGAAAGCTATACCTAGTACCTACTTCCAAGTAAACTTTTGCCTCTTGGCAGTTTGGTGCGCTGTGTGGCAGTTTGCGCCTCCCCTTCCCGACCGCGCAAGGGCACAGGGTCACGACACGACTGCGCTCGCAAACAGACCTCCTACGACGTTCATCAGAGATTTATCCCGACCCCGGTCATCCGCACAGAAAGGACCACGTCCGGTCGCGGCGCCCGAAAGGCGCGGTCGCCACACACGTCAAACAACTCGACCGCTGCGGCGTTGCGCGCGCGGCGCCCGCGTCGGCCCGCTGCGTACCCCGCACAAAAGACTGCGACGATGCCGCACCGACGCGCCACGCGAGCCTTTTGAAAAGGTTCGGCCGCACGATGTTTGTCACGAGCGCGGGGCAAATTATGCGGACAGCCCTTTTGAGCGCCGAGCAATAGATGTGTCGGACCTGGCTCGGCGACGCGGGACGGCGCGGCGGCGGCGTTTCCGACGCATTGTGCGGGTATTTACGGGGTTGGGCGCCGCCTGCGGTAAGATTGATGACAAGTGACGACGTGCCGGGTGGTTGGACCATCTGCGGCGGGGTGCCGCAGAGGAGGGGTTGTGAAATCGTGGGCGACACCCAGGTCACCTTCGGAAGGAGAGGACGATCAAGCGCGGGTGGTGATATGGTACCCTGTTTGTACGCGCGTCGACAAAAGATGGGCGCCTGACGCCTGTGTGAGCGCTGTTCGACCTTGTCCACAACCTCACAGCAACAGCAGAGGACGGCCTACACTGTGTGCCGCATGATCTACAAGCATGTAAAATTGTAATACAGCATGCCCTATGGAATGTTCTGGGCTTTAGACAGGGATGCCTCATGTATGAGTAAGTCTTCGAGGAAATTCGCTCGCCTCGCATGCATGCCCAGCTTAGAGCGCCTTCCAGATTATTGCGCTGCATGATGTCAGATGGCCAATCAGAGGCCGCTGAAATGGCTCAAAACCGCGGATTATGTGCCTTATTTTTCGTCACTTTTCAGCCGGCTTTCCCGTGTTCAGTGGGCAACGAGGACTTGACGGCATTTTTCACAAGGTCGTCGAGGCGGCCGTTATACATAAGAGACTTCCCGGCTTTGTCAAAGCATACCGTAAAATCGCGAAAAAGCCAGCAAAGCTGCACAGCGGCGCCAGCAACAGAGCGACGTGGCCGCGCTTTCTATACATGGCCAGTATTCTTCTGGCCGCGCAGGCCGGGCGCTTCCAAATACAGCGGTTTGGGCCCGGGCCGGCCTGGGAAGCCGGTCGCTCGCGTGTCGCAGGACAGCCGACGGACAAACCAACAGCAGGACGGCGCTGTTATTGTAATTGTGTGTGTGGCGATACTTTGTTGGCGCATTGTAATCGCTCACCGACCGTGTACTGTCCTTGCACGTTCGTGGAAGGGGCCGCTCGATGTTGAACTACTTGTGCCTTGAACGAGGTCGCTGTTGAGGGTAGGGGACACCGGCCGTCCTTCGCTCGTGGTCGCGTCGCTTACTGTCGTGACCGATTCGTCAAAAAAGTCTCATCTGTGCCTTCTCTCATTCAAGTCTCGTAGAGGTCGATTTGCGACATATCTTCCTTTGACGTCTCCGATAGATGACCTCCGGCTTCTGCAAACTGCTGGGCTACCCAGACGGCCTCAGTCTAGGCCGGGCCAGACTTTATCTCGCGTCTTGAAGGCTAGGCTTTGAAACAGGCTTTGAGCGTCCAGGATCAATGGTCAACCCACTGGCTGCCCCGTCTATCGTTTCATCGACTGTCTGTCGGTGGCTGTGACCGGTGCGCTGCGGCGGCTAGGCTGCCATTCAGACCGGAGCGGCTGCTGCGGAGGCTGGGTGGACTGTGCGCGTGTGCCGGTCCGGCCCGGCCGCGGTCCGGCGCCAGTCGACTGAGCGGCCGTCCCAGATCAGCCGACGGGATCGACCCGACCATGTAAGGCGGCGCTCGGCGCCGGCCGCCGCGCGCGCGCTCCGTCGCCGCCGGAGTCAAACAGCACCGATAAAGAGACGAGCGGAGAGAGAAGCGCGTCCGACCGGCCGACTGCGTGGATTGGACTTGTTAGAGTGGTTTGGAGATAGGGCGGAACACGGGTTTGGGTCGGTCTAGTGCGCGGAGGGCGCGGTGGTAAGGGAGGAGGGGGAGGGGTGAGAGGACAGCTGGATTGGGGCTTCGGGCACTGTGTCTCACGGGGTGGTGTGATTGGAATGTGCGAGCTAGCACAGTTGCAGGAGAGGACCAGACATCGATGCTTGATATTGTCTTGAGTGAGTTGTCACATTACTGTGGCTCTCTCATTTCAGATAATTAAAGGGATTAGTGTGAAACAATTATTGCCATTGTGACTGTGGTGCAACAATGATTACGCCCAGAAAGTTACCTACACGAAACTGAGGAATCTGTCCCGAAGTATGAGGGAAACATACGGTTTCAGCTGAACGCCTTTGTTCGGGTTTAGCCATGGTGTGTCCGGAAAAACGACGAAGGGTCCTGTTATGGCGCCAGCCTTTTTACGCCACACCTTTGTGCATATTTGCATTCGTTCGTTTCTGCGCTCAGATTGCCCCTGATCGGACCACAGCCGAAAACCTCTCGCCGAATGGTCACGAGCGAGGCGCACTATCGTTTCTGACAGGTCGGCTGTGAGAACCGCTCGTCACGCGCTGTCGTTAATCCGGCTGTTGGCGGTGGGTTCTGGTTGTACGCCGTGAGCCCGTCCAGATAGGCGGCGCACGCCCGCGCCGCGCGCCGTGACAGAGCGCGCGCCGATCGTGGCGCGCGCGCGCCGCGCCAGATAATCCACCGGCGCCGCAGCCGCCGCTCATGCATGCGCCGAGTCGCTCGCGCAGTTATCAAAATACGGCGTCGTTTTTGTCTCGCTCGGTGGCTCGTGCCACACGCGGCGATAGCGCCGAGATTGTCGCACTTAACAAAACGATACGCGTGCGACTGTCGGCCGGCGGCGCGGGCAAAAACGGCGCGCCGACGGCCGGCGCGCGGCGCTGGCGCCCAGTCGTCCCGGCGCGCGCCAACTGGGCGCGTTTTTGCACCGCCAAAGCCACGCGCGCCCGTCGTCGTATTACGAGCCGGCGAGGGAACACTAATTGAAGCCGACTGGCCTGGCCGCCGGCGACGAGCGAGTGGTGTGTTTTGGTAATGAACACCGTGTGTGCCGCCTGCCGGCGGCGGGGAACGGTGACAGAGCCGGCGCGCCGCACGGTCGCGTCTGTTTATTGACCCTCCGCTGATGAACGGACCCGGCAGCGAGCACTTACCACGGCGCCTCACTGGTGATGTAGTTATTTGCCGATCTTGTTCGGTAATCTACGGTCAGAGACGCGAGCTCCGGAGCGGTGATGCTCATCAGGAGAATATTCAAAGTCAAACACTTGGGCTCGCGACCTAGTGATTAGGGGCCGCCCGCTTTACAGAACTCCATTAGCAGCGGTAAAAACGCGCGGCGCGCACCTGAACACTCCGCCGACGGGCCGGAGCCCTACCGTGCCGCCTCTCTCTCTCTCTCCCACAGCGCCCCTGTGAGGAGCGGCTCCACAAAGAACGCCCCTCGAACTCACCCATGCAGGTTTTGCAGCACTCCCCGACCGGCATCACCGGGTTCTTGCAGTTGGGCTTGGGACAGTCACGCTTGATGTTGCGACACTTGACCCGGCCAACGACGCGTCGTTTGCGCTGGATCTGTGGAGACAAGGGCGCAGGTCAGCCGGCAGGTCAGGATCACAGGTCACAGGTCAGCTGGCAGGTCAAGAGGTCAGGTCACAGGTAAACCAAAAGGTTAGGGTCACAAGTAGGCCAACAGGTCACGGTCACAGGTCAGTGATCCAGGGTTTCAGGTCAGCCTGAAGGTCAGGATGGCGGCATCATTGGTGGGCTCTCGACTGATCGGATTACGCTGATTCTGGGTGGCAACAATATTATTGGTCCAATGCCCTTACAGGGCGCAAAATGTCAACTGGACAGGATGCACGCAGGCGGAAAATGTGATTCCGCGTCGGCTCTGAGAAAAATGGTTGATTTACCTGTGGCCCTGTTAAAAAGGAGCAGCTCGAATAAAAACCCAGGCGCCAACTGTAAAACACCGGCTCCATTGTTTTAGTTGAAAACAATACGACATTTTAAGTGGTGATTAGCTGACTCTGATGCCTAGAGTATAGACATGTGGAACTCATCGATTGCTTGAGTATACGCATGTGACAATTCATAAGCAAAGGCCACTATGATTTATAAGTTCACTAGCTGATTGGCATGTGAGGCATGCTCTCTAAACATTGTAGCAGGTTGTTGACATTGGCGACAGACATTGGGTAGTAGATGCTATCGATAGCTTAGAAATCTAGGACATTCCTTCACTGAAAATTCCACTGAAGTTCAGAATTGTGTAGTAGTTAGTACAGTAGGCATTTGTTTGGCGATTGTACTCAAAACCGATGCTTGGCGGTATTATGCATTTTTCTTTCCATGTGAATCATGAGTTACGTTAATCATGGGTTACGTTTTGTTGGCTGTCCTAATCTGCAAGGAAGTATGTTGCAAAATCCCATAAAGTTGAAATACAATAATTATTAACGTTTGCTTCGTTTACGTGCCTGCGAAATTATTGAACCTAATCCAAATATCCCGGCTATCTCGGATATGATAAGCGAGAGATCCGGGAATCTGCGCGATTTGCTCGGTTATATAACTTGTCAACACTGTACCGTTGCCTTGCTTTTGGTTGGCGAGGACCAGCGAGTCTGCTGGCCCTGGCCAGCGCACCCAGCCAGCGCGGAGGCCAGCGCGCGCCGATCAGCACCGATAGCTTCCATCAGCGCCTCGGAGGTCGGAATCGCTCTGCCAAAATAGCCGGTGTATTTTCGCAGCAGCGATCGGCCGTCGCCGGCCGGAGCTAATGTCACTGGCTGTCGTCTCGGCGGCGCCTCCCGGCTGGCACGCGGCCGTCAGAGCTCGGCCGTCCCGTACAGGACGGTCGGACGGACGGACCGCCGCCCCCAGCCGGGCCCCGAGACGTCCGACTCGTCCCGGCAGCCACATCGTGTTCTGTTGAAAATTCCAATTGGCGTTTATGGAAGCGTCGGCGGTAAGAGCGTAATAAACAGGAGGCCGGCCGGCTGCTAAACATTGCTGCCTTAATCGCGCTCTGCGAGCCATTAGAATTAAACGGCCGTGGGCTGGCTGCCAAGGTCGCAGCGCGCGCCGTCAGCGAGCTGCATCTCGACAGGCGGTCGGCCAGCGCCGCTCCGGACTCCCGAGACGTGCGCTGCTCGGCGCTGTGCGTGCCGCAGTGCGCGCGCCGGACCGGTGTTCCGGGAAGACGGTGTCCGACGCGTCGGCCGCTCTCCATGTCACGGGTCATTTATCACGGGTCAGAGGAGGCGGCCGACCGGCGCGACTGGCCGCCGCCGCGGCGGCTACTCTACATTCCGGGGGCGGCCCGGACCCTCCCTCCCCCGGCGCCTCATTTCAATAGATAACATCACTCTTTAATTCATATTACCTTTGTGCTTTTCATTATTCACAAAGGCGTGCGCTGTGTCGGCGAGCGGCGTCCACTCAGAAATACATTATCACCCACGGGGGCGGCGGCCGCCGACGCGGAACTGCCGCCGCCGGCGACCACGTCCTGTTGCTATCGGGACCTGCCGACTGTGACGTCACATATTGCCCTCGATGACGTCACCGGCTGCTCTCGATGTCCAGGTCACCGCGGGTCCCTTCTGGGGCCCCCAAGTCATGCGAGGTCACCGATCTGAGTCCCTTGGGCAGGCAAGTCCCCAGTGAATGACCGCACCCAGTGCGCTGAGTTGGTTTGGACTGACTCGAATTCTCGAAGTCCGGTGCCAGAACTATTTTAAATATACAAATTGGAGTCGGTTGAACACGGAAGTGATCCGAGTTTAAGTACTATGTACGGACGCTGGAGAGGGCACTGATTGTGTATGTATGCTGAGGCGCGTGCCCGAGTACGGCGCGGAGGCCCGGTGCCGAGACACGGGTCGTGTGGGCGGTCGCAGGACAGCCTCTGACCTCGGCCCGCCCCGGATAATTGGGCGTCGACACATGTCGGAACAGCCCACCAAATTTGGCCGCGGCGGCGGCGGCGGCGCTCCATGTGGAGAGTGCCGCGCACTGGCCCGACCGCGCCGCGCCACCGTCGGTGGACGGCGACAGGGCGCCGCCCGGACGCGCGACACGACCAGACCTCCCGGCCCACCCGAGAGTGGCCAGTCAGATGTCTAAATCCAGAGGACGAGAGGACAACAGACCGACGATGACGGGTAAAAGCCGTCTCGGATCGCCGTGACGTCCGATTCCGGTGATATGCCCCGATTTCGGGGAGGAGCGCGCCGCCCTGACGGGCCGCCCGGGTCGTGGCGATTGGATCTGACGCGCAAAACGGCCGACCTTGTCGCGTTTAACTGCTCCATGAGGTCATTCGCAGATGATGGTATTCGAATATCGTATGAGTTACTCGTAAAGTTACTCTGACCTTGCACAGATACTCCGAAAGAGCAAGTGATTAGTGAAACACGTTTGGAAAGATTTAATGAATATAATAAAATGGATCGCGACGTAACGGTTAATTACCGACGAGCCGAGCGATGTAGCGTCAACACAATGACATCATAAGTGGCGCAAATGTAAACCAATTAACGGATAATTTACGATAATATGATGAAGCGGTTTTCGCTCTGCTCAAGCAAGCAGCGCCTATATACTCCTCGAATGCAATAGGTGATGGAATTGTAACTTCCCCGAATAGGTATGGCATCACCCGGATTCTTATCACGGCTATACCGCAGAAAGAACCAGAAAACACCCGTATCTAAGGCGTTTCGATGACGTCGTTGGCAAAACAATCGGCCATAAAGTATAAGCCGTATGCTTAAGAACGCATTGTCCAATGATCGTCAGGCTGCATGTGTGTGAAACCTTGAGTTCGTCCTTGGTGCAACCAGGCGACTGTTGGCACTGCAGTGCACTGCCGCCGCGATAACGGCCGTATTGACCTCCGGACGTGGCACCCCAGGGCGACGGATCCAGCCCGCCGCTCGGCGCAATGGCACGGTACACAGCTGGCACCCCGCCGCGGCCGCGTAAAAGCATTCCGCTGTCGGTGACTGCACGGCACGGAGGTTGGCAGCGCGGCGCGCGGCTCTGCGCCGCTGCCGTCCGCATAGTTGGCAACCGGTGAGCGCGGGTCAACGGGCGGGGGTAGGCCCGCAGCACGGAGCGCCGCCGGGCTGCCCCGCGGCACGGCCGCGCAGGTGTCGGCCGTGGCGGCCACCCGACCCTCACGGGACGCTCGGCGCTACCTGGAACGGGCTGGTCGGCGCTGAAACATGACGCGAAAGGCTCGCTGAAGGCCGCGCTGCAGCGGCGCCGGCGGTGGCGCGTGCCGCCCCGGTCGGACCGGCGGGCAGTGACCGCGGAGACTGCGGAGACCGCCGACCACTGCCATCAGTGGCGCTGTATGTCATGTTCAGCAGAACACAGAGCACGGAGAAGAGCCGCCTGGTTTGCAGTCCATTCCGTTAGTGAAACGATGGCGGTGGCGATGCTCTGAACGATACTTGCGAACGTAGTCGCCGTCGTCTCGGAGCTTACAATGGGAAGGCAGGGCAGCCCCGTCATCGTTAAGCCGACTGTGCCCGCTGGGGTGTCACGTTGCATAACTCGTTCTGGGCCTTCCCAGGGGCTTCCCTAAACCCGCTGATCTCTTCCTGCCCATGGACGTCCAGCTCCGAGCGCACTCGGGTCACCACCCAGCCCCGGAGTAGCGCGGTCCAGGCGCTGGCGGCCGGTCAGGGTCACCGGGACGGTCAGGTCACGGGGCGCGATCGGCGCCGGTGCCAGCCGCGCCGGGAATGTCTGCGGCGCGCCGTTCTCGTGCTTGGCTGACGAGCTGGCAGGCACGGTCGACTGCCGGTGCAGCGCGCCGTCCTCACCGCTCCAACACATACGATGAAAGCAGCGCGCCGCGCGCCGCCGCGAAACGCTGATTTATGCCATGAAGGAGCGACACAAAGGAACTGGGTGCAGAGGCTAGACCGCTCTGGAGGCCGCCGGCTCATAGTCCGCCCAGCGCTACCCAGCAAGTGAGCGGTAGGCTTGCAAAAATAAAGGTCAAGTTGAAGCTTAAGTTGCAAGTGTAAATACTCAGTTAAGCGGCGGCGGCTGGGCGATAAGCATCGTAATAGTGGCTTTCAGGAGGCACTTCGTTCTAAGCCATATGGTTTTAAGCCGAAGCATAATGATACGTTTGCCTTCCCTCCGCCACCTAGGAGCGGTGATTTACCCCCCCCCTCTCTCGTCTGGGGGGGGGCGGAAATGGGCGGGTCCGGCGAGCGGCGCCAACCGGACCCTGGACGAGGCCGGTCTGCCGCCGTGGCCGTCAATGGCACACCGCGCCTGCATAATAATAACACTTGGCCGCCGCCGAGCCTCCCCAGCCCCCGAGCTGACCAAGCTCAGCTCGGACGGTCGCCGGAAGGGTCCCACGTCCGGCCAAACTAGCCGCAACTGTCGCCGCCCCGGCCGGCCACTGGGTCCGAACTCGTACATACAAACTCTGCGTCCTCTGTCGTGGCCCTTCCGGTCGGCGTGTTGAAAGGTGTCAAAGTTTGGCCGTTGAGCCACGCTTGACGATCCGTGGAGTGGCTTGTCCATCGCGGTCCACTGATGCGATGCGTTCGCAGTGAGTAGACGAGCTCTATTTATAGGTTTACGACGCAGTGGACCCAACACTAATCACCACGAAACGAAGATAAAGACGTTATCTGTGCATCTTTGTCTTCTGGATTTGAATATTTCGTTTCCCAATCAAGAAACAAGACGCAGCCGATAAGGCCTAATTTCACTGATGAGCCTGATGTGAGCGCTTAAACAAGCTACGGTTGAAAACGCCAGCAGAATGCGCTCTCATCTACATAATACCTGCTCGAAACAGCCTAGGAGAGTCGGTATTTTGGCCGGCGGCGGCAGAGGCCGGTGCTGGCGGCACAACCTGCTTCAGAGGGCCTGCCGCGCTAAATCAGTTCGACCTGCCGGCGGTAGTCCGACGCCGCCCCCGTCCACCACAAACAACGGGGCGGCGCGGGCGGCGGCGCCCGGCAGTCGGCCGCTCAGCCCGACCACAGCTCCCGGCATATGAGCGGCGCCGATTAGTGTGTTCCTCCCGTTATTAATGTGTCCAGACAGTCGTCAATAAGGCTACAAGGAGCGGCGGCGGCTTGGAGCCGGCGCCGCGGCGCGCCGGGGCGAAATTCGGGCTCAGCAAGCACCGCCACAGAGTTATGGCGCACCGGCAGGGAAGGAGCTCAACAGAATCAGAGAAGGCACTATGTAGATTAGACGAAGACTATCAATAGTGGCCGATGCTTTCTTAGCTTTTTTCATCTGTCCCCTGAATATTTTTTCCCGACTGTTTGCCAACGCCTAAAAATAACACACAGAACTTCACAGAAAATTCGCAGGGCACATTATCAGAGTTATCTAGTAATGATGCGTTGCAGTGCGCAGGTGCGTTTTCTGCGTGGCCCTTGCAGGACACCACGGGTGAGGGCGGACGATACGTTGAGCGATACGCCGGGCGATACATTTGACGATACACCGGGCGATACACCGGACAGTGCGGACAGGTGCCGGTCGCCGAGGTGCCGCTGTCAGGGACCGCAGATCGCCCCGATACAACACCCGACAGCAGTGACCGGCGGCCGTGGGCGGACCTCATCCCGACACTTTTTCACCGTCCCAAACGAGGCGACACATTAGCAGCTAAATGCCCAACGGCACGCCATGCCGGCCTGCCGGGCGGAAAAATGACCACCCGGTGATTAATCCTCGCATGGTTTTCGTGTAGGTGTGAAAATTATTAAGGAAAATGTGGAAGTGAAAGGAAAAAGGTGGACCGTATCTGAAAACATCGCTGTCCTATCGTTGCATCTACATCTGTTATACTATGCGGCGGACAGGCCCGGCCTGCCCGCTATCTAATTCTGCCCCTGATGGCGCGATGTTAACAACCTACAGATGCCCCGGCTTGCCGACAGGCCTATCGCCCATACGAAAACAATACCTGCATGTCATAGCAAGGAAGCGGTCGGCATATCAGGCACTAACAGGCCGACACAGCGACCACGGCGGCGCGGTTACGGACAGGAGGTGACAGCCGCGGCACGGCACCGTGACGTAACGTCACTATGACGTCATGATGACGCAGTATGTGACGCAAAAGGTACTCACCGGTACACACTCGCACTGGACGCAGTACATGACGCCGAACGGCGAGCCCAGGTCGGGGTTCCACATGGCCTCCAGCTCGTAGGTCTGCTTTCCGAAGTGGCATACTGAAACGGAGAAGGAGAGGGATGTCAGACGATGGCTACCGGTTCCGTATTTTATATCTGGCTACATGAACTTGGTGGTTGGTGGTATCGGATATTTGTTTGGTAGTTAACTGATTTACCGAAACATAAAAAGAGAAATGATATTTGGCAAGTAATGTAACAGAAGCGCACTGAACAGCAACATCAACAGGTTTGCAAGCACCCGCCGTGTGACCTCCAAAAATATCGGGAAGTATGCACTGCAGGCGGCCGCTGGTGTCGGAGCTGCTCGGGCCGGCCACAGAGCCTTGGTTCTGGATAATGTAGCGAGCTCGGCGGTCCGAATGTCAGCGCGTCGCATACTAATCGAACGGCCAGCACATGTTGACCATGCAACTGGGACGCTGCATATGGTTAGACGGCCGATGGGCAGGTTCTGGCTATTCTCAGCCGCTGACTGACGTCACCCGGGCCAGAGGCTGCCTCTGACATAGAGCATGGTTGCCAGTTTAACCTGTTTGACAGGGGCGATTATGTATCCAATACTTACATGATTTGTTCCAAATGGAGGAAGTTGCTGCACCGAAATCTTTCGAGTGCAAAAATAAATAATCTTAGACCACCCAGTCGGCGCCTTAATGACACTTTTAGCACTGATATAACATAACAATGAGCATGGGTGATTTACGCACCGCATGGCGTGGTGATTAAAATGGCACACTTCCTCGCCCATTCATGCATTTCATTTATACGGCCTATTGAACGAGCCGGTCGGCACTTTAGATTCGTTTGAAGAACCTCGTGAACCGTTTTTATTTGACAGCCAAGTGTCAGCCGGCCACCGGCCGCCCGCGCCCCGCCCGTGCTCTGTTGACCAAGTGTGTTGTCGCGCGGGCGGTGCTAACTGGTGACACGGGTCTGTCATGACGTCAGTGCTTCCCACGCACGGTCGCGCGCCGCGCCGCGCCGGCCGCCGCCTGCCGGCCGCCGGATAGGCTGTGCCGCAGTGCCGCAGTGCGCGGCGGCGCGGCGCGCGGGGACAGAAGGCGCGGCGCGCGGGGACAGAAGGCGCGCGAGCGCAGCGACACATCGCCCAAGCGACCCCAGCGGCTTGGTGGCTGGATATGTAGGTATTTACAAACCCCTCCCCTCCCCCCTCTGTGGTCAGGAGACTAGCCGCCGGCAGCGGGGCGCAGATCAGGCCCGATGACTTTGACCGGCCGACGTGTCACGGCGCCACAGTATAATGAGCCGATCGTGATTGCAAATTCACTTTGCAGGCGAAGGCAATGAGATGCCACTACAGCGGTCGCTAATGCTCTCAGAGGTGCCACGGCGACTAGCCAAGACATGTCTCCTAAGTTTCTCGAAGCACCGAGTCGGCCATGGCGGTTGGGTCGTGTCATTCATTGGCAGCGTGCACCGTCTGCCTCGGAGATGGATGGCAGGATGACGGGGACACCGCAAGGTGTAGTTTACTATAAGTACAGTTAACGATATGTCCGTGCTGTTTGTCTGAATGTTTCTAAAATAAGCGGCAAAAATATTTAAACTAACTAATCAATCGCACCATGGACACAGTGGGGGAATATTTCTTTCTTACCGAAATGCTGTTACGTGTTATTGTCCATTAATTCAGATATTTATTTTTGTTTCATTGGTTTTCGACAATAAATTTCAGGAATAATTCGGTTCATTGGTTCATTCATTCCTTCGAGGATCGGACTGCCTAAAAAGAACAGCTTTGTGTCTAGATGCTCATCCCACCGGTATTTTGTGAGGTCTGTGTGAGGCCGCCAGAAACGGCGTCATTCCTCATCCAAGCGAAAAGAACTCGTGACAAGTGCTGAATGATATCCCCGGAACTGTCTCGTCTGAGTAAAATATCAGCGACATATGAATATACAACCTGTCAAATATTTAAACCCTTATCTGGATACACAGTTTGAAATACGAAACGCTGACTTAAACATGACGTGTGCATTCAAAAGTGTCGGGCAGATTGACGTCTGTGCTGGTAAATGGATGATCGGTCAAATGATTAACCGCACGGTGTCAACTCGTGCTCGCGCTGACGGTTAGTGTCACTCTGGTCGATACCAATCAGCGTCGCGTCCACTGCAGCTGTCACGCGGGGTAATGATGCGTCACGGACGCGGCGTCACTCTGCAGGCCGACTGTGACGAGCGGCGAGTGCGTGCGGTGGTGACGTGACGCAGACCTGCGCTCTGTCAGCTGTCGGCCGATCTGAACCGCCGCCGGACGGAGCTGTCATCCGGCCGCCCCCGTCCCGCCCAGTCCCGCTCCGACTTCCTCCCCTAGTTACCGACCAACCCGGACGGTATCATGCGCCAGACACACCTGCAAAGCGCGGTAAACAGGAGGCTAGATATCGTTCAGACCACTTACGGTTACATCTGTGCTGGGGTGAATGGGACTACTAATTATGGCGTGCGGACCCCTCCGACGACACCTGGTAGTGCGAAGGGCGTGGTAGGGACGCTTCACCCACCTCTAGATACCAGGGGTACTACACACACCGGTGCCGACAGACCGACCCCGGACGACCGGCGCGGGCAGCGTGACTGGCAGAACGGGCGGCGGCCGGCAACATAACCTCGTGCTCGCCCGACACCAGCGGCACGGGCCGCGCATATCAACACCGATACCTGCCCGCGCCGCCCAGCACCGCCCAACACCGCCCGTAGCCGCCCAGCGCCGCCGAAAGCTGTCCAGAGCCGTACAGAACCGCCCAGCGCCGTTCAGAGCTGTCCAACACCGCCCAGAGCTGTCTAGGACCGCCCAACGCCGTGCGGAGACGCCAAAAGCTGGCCGCCCAGAGCAGAACTTCCGGGGCGGCGGCGGCGGCGACGGCAGTGGGAGGGAGCGCCGGGTCGCCGACGCTGACCTCACAGTGGGAGGTGCTCGCCCGCCCCTTCCGTCGGCCACAACTCAGTCGGGAGGCCACGGCGCGCTGTCGGTGAACGGCGGACCCTGGCGCCGAGCCCAGCCGGGTGGCCGGAAGGGCGGCAACACACAGAGGGGCCCCAGAGGTCAGGGCGCAATGACCGACACGGGGAGGAGATGAATGGAAGCTCAGCTCAAAGAGAGAGGAAGTTCATCAAGATGTAGGATGAAACATTGAATTAACTGACCAAACAATTCCTTTTTGTGGTTCAAAGCTGTTTGAATCTGATGACTTGAGCGACTGCAACTAAGCTACGAATCTTTTCTTTGATAAACGTTCGTATTTGCTCCTCTTATCAACAGTCTAGCCGGTCGCCGTGTCTATTTCTCCTGACGAATCCACCAGCCGGTTCTGGTTGACAGCTCCCATCTGCTCCCACGGTTGAGCCGGCGGTCTGCCGTTCCCAGCGGAGCTCTCCAGCGTATAGCTGTCAGCTCTCTCAGCAGCCCGTGAGCTGCAGGGCGCGCTGACACGGCGCGGGAACCCGACACCGCGGGCGGCGCCGGACCGAGGCGGCGACCACGGCGCCGCGCTGCCGGACCGAGTCCGAACTGAACGACCGAGCGAGCTAGAGAGCGAGCGAGCGGGCGGCTGTAGGATTGGACGAGCGAGAGGCTGAGAATACGGCACGGCCGAGTGATGGGATCTCATAACTGAAGACAAACCCCGACGCTTCGGCGAGTCTCTGTGTGGGGGCGTGGCGTCAGCCGAGCACGTGTATCTGGACACGTGCCCGACAATGACCCCTCCGCTGGCGTCACCGGCGGCGCCGGGCAGCCGTCCCGGCAGCTCGGGGGGCGGCCGGCACACCTGTGCCCTCCCACGCGACTCGCCGGGCCGCCGGAGACGGAACCGCCACGCTCCATCCTCACGGCCCGTGTCTCGGAGTTGCATCAGGTGCTGGCGAGACGGCCCGGTCGTGGAGCGCCGTCAGCCTTGGCGGCGCATTAGTGGACAGCGGTGGCGTGGTGCCGCGCCGCCCCTTTTTGGGCACCGAGTGTGGTGATGACATGGCCCCGGGACGGGGATGGGTGGACGCCGGGACGATATATGGCCGTTAGGTGTATATTTCAGCCACAGACCGACATGTCAGGTGATTGTAATTTGGCACCGGCGCGCGGTCAGTCTGCCCGATGACCTTCGATGGCCCGCAGCGGTGCCGATCGGAGTGATCATCCCGCCGGAGCGGCGCCAGCGACGAGAAAAGACCGCCGCCGCGACACCGTGCCCGCACCACTCACGTGACACGGTGCGACCTGCCAGCTCACCTGGCTGCATCGGTAGCTCGTCTGGCAGCTCTGCGGACCACCCGGCCGGTCTTGTGACCACTGGCGACGCCGGGGGCAAGGCGCCAGTGGGCCAGGGCCGAGGGGCTGGATCCGCTGGACCAGGGCCGGCCCCGCGCTGGTTCCGTAACCACCTTCAGCGAGCAGGGCGGACCGCTGCCGCCGCCCCGTTTATAAATGGCCGCTATCCCTTGGCTGCGACAGCGCGGCCGGGCGCGCGCCATATCGGGCGAAAACCAGAGGCGGTACGCGCGGCTCAGGGTGTCGCGTTCGTAGTATTATAGATGGACGCGTGTCCCTGTCAGCATCATAAACGAATCGAGCATGCTACGCAGTACTGCGCGTCGCGCTGAGGCAGTTGAGAGAGCAGGGGGTCGAGAGAGGGGCTCTTCTGTGGGTGTGATTGGTTGTGAATAGTGCCCTCCCTGTTTACCGCCGGTCAGCACGCCGGATGGGAACGTGCTTATCAAAACACCTGCCTGTGTTTCGCTGACGTAAATCCGTGGAGGTCGGGCATCATGAACAATACGCAGAGTTTGTCGTTGTTGAATCACTGAGATCGGAAGCTGGTTACGAGATAACCCAGACGAGGGACTCGCCAATCTGGCTGGTCTCCCGATGATGCTGTTGTCTGAGCGTCGTCTGGGACCTGTTGGGGTTGGCTGCTGACTGGACCAAAGCACATGCCGCTGTCCGCCCCCGCCGCTGCCTCCAGAGCCCATCGGCAGAGACGATGTCCCGGGCTTGGCCATCATGTACTGGTCTCA